CCGGCCATCTTCATTACAAGAGAGCAACCATTTGTGTGTGTGTTTGTTACTGTGCTTCATGGGCCATCTGCTGTTATTTCTTTCCAGCAGGTGTTTACATTTACTGCTGCTACCTGGCTGCTCCTGCTGCTGCTGCCACCCTCTTGTTATGGGATCATTTTGTTTTTTGCTGTTTGAAGTTAGTGTCAGTGTATTCATCCGTGTCACGTTAAGCTGCGTCCGGTAGTACAGAACCCGTGTCCGTGTCAGTACCCAGGACCCGTGTGCCCGTACTCAGGACCCGTGTATCATTATCACGAACAAATTGATTTTAAGGAAACAACATCAGTCAAATTGATAATCATAATTTTGTGGTTTCCCTCGACAGTCATCGACCTCTTGCTGTGGTATCGTCACAGGAGCAAGAAAAAGTATATATTCTATTCTTTCTTAACCCGTACAACCTTCACTGGCTTGGAAGGCACGTGACGCAGGTGGCTGGCTTTTAATTCAACCAATCACGGCATTCCAAGACCTCTACATTAATACGTCTCATCCTACCTCCCCTCACACCCTCCCCTAACACACCTACCCTCCCCCCCTCACCTTCCATCCTCCCTCCCACCTACCCTCCTCCCCTCACATACCCTCCCCCTCACTCCTCCCTCCCCCCCTCCCACCTACCCTCCCCCTCACACATCCTCCCCCTCCACCTACCCTCCCCTCACACCCTACCCTCCCCCTCACCTACCCTCCCCCTCCCTCCTCCCCTCACACCTACCCCTCCCCTCCCCCCTACCCTCCCCTCACACCCCTACCCTCCCCTCCCACTACCTCCCCCTCCCCTACACCCTCCTCACCTACCTCCCCCTCCACACCTACCCTCCCCTCCCACCTACCCTCCCTCACACCTACCCTCCCCTCCCACCTACCCTCCCCTCCCACCTACCCTCCCCTCCACCTACCCTCCCCTCCACCTACCCCTCCCCCCCCTCCCCTCCTCCTCACCCTCCCCCTCCCACCTACCCTCCCCTCCCACCTCCCCCACCTACCCCTCCTCCTCACCTACCTCCTCCCACCTACCTCCCCTCACACCTACCCTCCTCCCTCCACCTACCCTCCTCCCTCACCTACCCACCTCCCTCCCACCTCCCCTCCCACCTACCTCCTCCTCCCACCTACCCCTGCCCTCCCACCTCCCTCCCACCTACCCTCCTCCTCCCACCTACCTCCTCCTCCCACCTACCCTCCCCTCCCACCTACCCTCCCCTCCCCTCCTCCCTCACACCTACCCTCCTCCCTCACCCTCCTCACCTCCTCACACCTACCCTCCTCCCTCACCCCTACCCTCCTCCTCCCCCTCCCTCCCCTCACACCTACCTCCCCCCTTACACCTCCCTCCTCCACCTACCCTCCTCCTCCCACCTACCCTCCTCCCTCCCACCTCCCCTCCCCTCCCCTCCCACCTACCCTCCTCCCTCCCACCCTACCCTCCTCCCTCACACCTACCCACCTCCTCACACCTACCCTCCTCCTACCTACCCTCCCCTCCCACCCACCCTCCCTCCACCTACCCTCCTCCCCTCCCCCACCTCCCCTCACACCTCCCCTCCCACCTCCCTCACACCTACCCTCCTCCCTCCCCTCCCTCCTCCCCTCACACCTACCCTCCCCTCCTCACACCCCTCCCTCCCCTCCCCACCTCCCTCACACCTACCCCCTCCCTCACCTACCCCTCCCTCACCCTACCCTCCTCACACCTACCCTCCTCCCTCCACACCTACCCTCCTCCCTCACCTCTCCTCCACACCTACCCTCCCCCTCCACCTACCCTCCTCCTCACACACCTACCCTCCCCCTCCCACCTACCCTCCTCCCCCTCACCTACCTCCCCTCCCTCCCCTCCACACCTACCCTCCCCTCACACCTACCCTCCTCCCTCCACCTACCCCTCCTCCTCCCACCTCCTCCTCCCACCTCCTCCCTCCACACCTCCCCCACCACCTACCCTTCCCCTCCCTACCCCTCCTCCCTCCACACCCCCTCCCCTCCCCCTCCCACACCCCTCCTCCCACCTACCTCCCCCTCCCCCCCTCCCACACCTACCTCCCCTCACCTCCCACCTACCCTCCTCCCCTCACACCTACCTCCTCCCTCCCACACCTTCCCCTCACACCCTACCCCTCCCCTCCCACCTACCCTCCTCCACCACCCCTACCTCCCCTCACACCTACCCTCCTCCCTCACACCTACCCTCCTCCCTCCCCACACCTACCCTCCTCCTCCTCCCCTCACACCTACCCTCCTCCTCACATCACCCTCCTCCCTCACCTCCTCCCCCTCCCACCTACCCTCCTCCCTCACCTCCCCTCACACCCCTCCCACCTACCTCCTCACACCTCCTCCCTCCCACCTACCTCCTCCTCCACCTACCCTCCTCCTCCCACCTACCCCTCCTCCCTCACCTCCCCTCCCTCTTCCCTCCCACCTACCCTCTTCCCTCCCCCTCCCCTTACACCTCCCCTCCACCCTACCCTCCTCCCCACCTACCCCTCCCCCTCCACCTACCCTCCCTCCACCTACCCTCCTCCCTCCCACCTACCTCCCCTCCCCCACCTACCTCCTCCCCTCACCTACCCTCCTCCCTCCCACACCTACCCTCCTCCCCTCCCACCTCCTCCCCTCCCACACCTACCCTCCTCCCTCCCCCCTCCTCCCTCCCCACCTACCCTCCCCTCACCTACCCTCCTCCCTCTACCTCCTCCCTCCACCCTACCCCTCCTCCCTCCCACCTACCCCTCCTCCCCTCCCACCCTACCCTCCTCCCTCCACCTACCCTCCTCCCTCCACCCACCTTCCCCCTCCACCCTACCCTCCTCCTCACCTACCTCCTCCCCTCCCACCTGCCCTCACTCCTCCCACCTGCCTCCCCTCCTCACACCTCCTCCTCCTCACCTACCTCCTCCCTCACACCTACCTCCCCTCCCACCTACCCCCCCCACCTGCCCTCCTCCTCCCACCCCTACCCTCCCCTCCACCTACCCTCCCCCCTCCACCTACCTTCCCCTCACCTACCCTCCTCCCCTCCCACACCTACCCCCCTCCTCCCACCTACCCTCCTCTCACATACATACACATACATACATACATATACATACATACATACAGGTATGCACAGGTATAGGCATAACGATGTGTATTCTTGAGAAAGCATGTGAACATATGAAGAATTTAACAGTCGTCTGTCCTCCCACATACGATGGATAACTTCTTAATATCACTAGACGTTACTGATGCACTCACACCTATGTTCCTCGTTGGGCCATGACCTCAAGGTGCTAAGTATTTTAGTGTACTGCAACCTTCTTTCCTTGCTTCCTTAAGTCGTGCTCAAGTGACCACTAGTTAGTATTTACATCACCTGAATAAATCCTTCTTTTACCTTATTTCCCTCCCCTCCCTCCCTCCCTCCCTCCCCTCCCCCTTCTCCTCCCTCCCCTCCCCTCTCTCCTCTCTCCTCCTCCTCCCCTCCCTCCCCCCTCCCTCCCTCCCCCCTCCCCTCCCCTCCCCTCCCCCTCCCCTCCCTCCCCCTCCCCTCCCTCTCCCCTTCTCCTTCCCCTCCTCCTCCCTCCTCCCCTCCCCTCCCCTCCTCCTCCCCCTCCTCCCCTTCTCCCTTCCCTCCCCTACCTCCCTCCCTCCTCCCCCTCAAGAACATGACCAATCATCTCTCTGCTCCCTCTCATCTTAACAAAATAATCATCAGAATTCACCCCTTCTCTACCCTTCAAGATTACGACCACTTAATTTCACAACCTCCCCTCCTTAATAAATGGCCATCAAATCTCGCTCCTCTCCCCCCTCTCCCTCCTCCTCTCTCCTCCACCCCCCCCTCCCCTCTCCCACCCCTCTCAAAATATATAACCCTTCCTTCTCCGTGCTTTGAGTCATCTCTTCCCCGGCCTCCCAGACCTCACCCCAGCCGCCAGACGTCACCCCAGCCGCGAACGTCACCCCCAGCTGCCAACGTCACCCAGCTGCCAGACGTCACCCCCCCCCAGCGCCACCAGACGTCACCCCCAGCCGCCAGACGTCACCCCAGCCGCCAGACGTCACCCCAGCAGCCAGACGTCACCCCAGCCGCCAGACGTCACCCCAGCCGCCAGACGTCACCCCAGCAGCCAGACGTTACCCCCCAGCCGCCAGACGTCACCCCAGCTGCCAGACGTCACCCCAGCCGCCAGACGTCACCCAGCCGCCAGACGTCACCCCAGCAGCCAGACGTCACCCCAGCCGCCAGACGTCACCCCAGCCGCCAGACCGTCGGCCGCCAGACGTCACCCAGCCGCCAGACGTCACCCCAGCCGCGGAGCGTCACCCAACCGCCAGACGTCACCCAAGCCGCCAGACGTCACCCCAGCCGCCAGACGTCACCCCAACCGCCAGACGTCACCCCAGCCGCCGAACGCGTCACCCCCAGCGCCAGACGTCACCCCAGCCGCCAGACGTCACCCCAGCCGCCAGACGTCACCCCAGCCGCCAGACGTCACCCCACCGCCAGACGTCAGCCCCACCCACCGCCAGACGTCACCCCAGCGCCAGACGTCACCCACCGCCAGACGTCACCCCAGCAGCCAGACGTCACCCCAGCCGCCAGACGTCACCCCAGCCGCCAGACGTCACCCCAGCCGCCAGACGTCACCCAGCCGCCAGGCGTCACCCCAGCCGCCAGACGTCACCCCCAGCCGCCAGACGTCACCCCAGCGCAGACGTCACCCCCGGCCGCCAGACGTCACCCCGGCAGCCAGACGTCACCCCAGCCGCCAGACGTCACCCCAGCCGCCAGACGTCACCCCAGCCGCCAGACGTCACCCCAGCCGCCAGACGTCACCCCCAGCAGCCAGACGTCACCCCAGCCGCCAGACGTCACCCCAGCAGCCAGACGTCACCCAGTCCGGCACATGACCAAAAATGTGTCCGGCCATGTCGGAGGACCTTGGTTGAATCTGCTGATCTGTCCCTGACCTTTTAACACTTCATGTTTTGTGTGTGTGTGTCTGTCTGTCTGTCTGTGTGTGCTGTGTGTGTGTGTGTGTGTGTGCTGTGCTGTGTGTGTGTGCTGTGTGCTGTCTGTGTGTCTGTGTGTGTGTCTGTGTGTGTGTGTGTGTGTCTTTCTTGTTGTGTCTGTCTGTTGCTGTCTGTCTGTGAATAGTTTGTCAAATATAACAATAATATATATATGTATGTAATATAACAACCCAAAGTTTGCGATAATAACAGACTTGTCATTAGTTAGTTGAGCCTAATCCTAAAGCCCCAACCCAACAGCCTATGGAGACAGTATTCCTAATGGGTTCAAATCGTAATGGGATCAAAAACCTAATTAGCCCTCAAACCTAATAATTAGTTTGGATTAGCACCAGGCCTATTAGAGCTGGGGCCCACCTGACCTCTACCGTCATATAACTAAGACACAGGAATATTAGCTGAGTGAACAACTTTGTTCAGTAACAGTAATACTAATAACAACAATAACAAATATAACAATAATATAAAACCATTAAAAGATTAAACAACAACAAGAAAAATATAAACAACAACAAAAAACAACTAAATCAGAAAACAACAACAATAACAATATAAACAACAACAAAAAACAACTAAATCAAGAAAACAATAACAATAATAATATAAATAAAAAAACAATAACAACAAAATATTATAAACAACAACAAAAGCAACTAAAACAATAAATCAACAAACAACAACAATAACAAAAAATAAATTCAACAATCAATAATAACAGAGGACGACTTTTTTAACGGCAATGACAATAATATAATAACACTGACGTCAACAGCATCAACTTAGTGTCCACCAGCTGAGAGAGAGAGAGAGAGAGAGAGAGGAGTTCAACTCATTTATGAGTATAATAAAAATACTGTATAATTTATAGTATAATATAATTGTGGATAAACCGGCTGAGGATACTTGATAATCGTGGATAATCTTGATAATCAGGACCTGATAATGTGTTCTTTCGATAATTAGATAATCGGAATTATCATTATCCGGAGACTCGACTAAGTTGTGTTGAGAAGAATGATCCAAGCTGATTCCTGATTGGTTGTCTGAGATCGTAGCTCAACTAAGGAGCCACCATGTGGAGCATTCGTCTACCGTGACGGGACGTAATGGCGTACCGTCCGTCAGAGTGACCCTCCTGGTGATCGTCTCTCTCTCTCTGCTACGTTCCAGTGACTCTAGAAAATGAACACAGGTCTCCACGCACAGTACCTGGAGAGCCACAGGTCTCTCACACAGTACCTGGAGGCTAGGTTCCCACGCAGGTCCTGGAGTGTCACAGGTCTCACAGTACCTGAGAGTCAACACAGGTCTCCAGCCACACAGTACCTGGAGAGTCAACACAGGTCTCACGCACAGTACCTGGAGAGTCAACAGGTCTCCCACGCACAGTACCTGGAGAGTCAACACAGGTCTCCACACACAGTACCTGGAGAGTCAACACAGGTCTCACACACAGTACCTGGAGAGTCAACAGGCCCCACACACAGTACCTGGAGAGTCAACACAGGTCTCCACGCACAGTACCTGGAGAGGTCAACACAGGTCTCCACACACAGTACCTGGAGAGTCAACACAGGTCTCCACACACAGTACCTGGAGAGTCAACACAGGTCTCCACATATACTGAGTCAGCACAGGTCTCCACACACAGTACCTGGAGAGTCAACACAGGTCTCCACACACAGTACCTGAGAGTCACACAGGTCTCCACACATGTACCCTGGAGTCAACTGGTCTCCACACACAGTACCTGGAGAGTCAACACAGGTCTCACGCACAGTACCTGAGACAACACAGGTCTCCACACACAGTACCTGGAGAGTCAACACAGGTCTCCACACAGTACCTGGAGAGTCACAGGTCTCACGCACAGTACCTGAGTCACAGGTTCTACGCACAGTTCTCTGACACACACAGTACCTGGAGAGTCACACAGGTCTCCACACACAGTACCTGGAGAGTCAACAGGTTCTACACACAGTACCTGAGAGTCACATGTTCTCCACACACAGTACCTGGAGAGTCACCATGGTCTCTACACACAGTACCTGGAGAGTCAACACAGGGTCCCCACACACATGCCTGGAGACACACAGGTCTCCACACACAGTACCTGGAGAGTCAACAACACAGGTCTCCACACAGTACCTGGAGAGTCAACACAGGTCTCACACACAGTACTCTGAGAGTCAACACAGGTCTCACACATAGTACCTGGAGAGTCAACACAGGTTCTACACACAGTACCTGGAGGTCACAGGTCTCCACGCACAGTACTTGAGAGCAACACACACAGTACCTGGAGAGTCAACACAGGTCTCACACACAGTACCTGGAGAGTCAACACAGGTTCTCCACGCACAGTACCTGGACAGCACAGGTCTCCGCAACAGTACCTGAGAGTCAACACAGGTCTCCACACACAGTACTCTGGAGAGTCAACACAGGTTCTCCACACACAGTACCTGGAGAGTCAACACAGTCTCCACACACAGTACCTGGAGAGTCAACACATGTCTCCACACACAGTACCTGGAGAGTCAACACAGGTCTCCACACACAGTACCTGGAGTCAACACAGGTCTCCACACACAGTACCTGGAGAGTCAACACAGGTCTCACACACAGTACCTGGAGAGTCAACACAGGTCTCCACGCACAGTACCTGGAGAGTCACACAGGTCTCCACACGCACAGTACCTGAGAGTCAACACAGGTTCTGCCACACAGTACCTGGAGAGTCAACACAGGTCTCCACACACAGTACCTGGAGAGTCAACACAGGTCTCCACACACAGTACCTGGAGAGTCACAGGTCTCCACACACAGTACCTGGAGTCAACACAGGTCTCCACACACAGTACCTGGAGAGTCAACACAGGTCTCCACACACAGTACCTGGAGGTCAACACAGGTCTCCACGCACAGTACCTGAGTCAACACAGGTCTCCACACACAGTACCTGGAGAGTCAACACATCCCACTGCACAGCACAGGTTCCAGCCATAGCACCTGGAGAGTCAACACAGGTCTCCACACACAGTACCTGGAGAGTCACAGGTCCCCACACACAGTACCTGAGCAACACAGGTCTCCACACACAGTACCTGGAGAGTCAACACAGGTCTCTGCCACACAGTACCTGGAGAGTCACAGGTCTCCACACACACAGTACCTGGAGGAGTCAACACAGGTCTCTCATTGCACACCCTGAGAGTCAACACAGGTCTCCACACACAGTACCTGGAGAGTCAACACAGGTCTCCACACAGTACCTGGAGAGTCAACACAGGTCTCCACACACAGTACCTGGAGAGTCAACGGTCTCACGCACAGTACCTGAGGCTGCAGGTCTCACACTCTGAGACACACAGGTCTCCACACACAGCACCCTGGAGAGTCAACACAGGTCTCCATGCACAGTACCTGGAGAGTCAACGCAGGTCTCCACACACAGTACCTGAGAGTCAACACAGGTCTCCACACACAGTACCTGGAGAGTCAACACATGTCTCCACACACAGTACCTGGAGAGTCAACACAGGTCTCCACACACACAGTACTGAGAGTCAACACAGGTCTCACACACAGTACCTGGAGAGTCAACACATGTCTCCCACACACAGTACTGGAGAGTCAGTAACACAGGTCCCCACACACAGTACCTGAGAGTCAACACAGGTCTCCCACACACAGTACCTGTGAGAGTCAACACAGGTCCCCACACACAGTACCTGGAGAGTCAACACAGGTTCTACACACAGTACCTGGAGAGTCAACACAGGTCTCCACGCACAGTACCTGGAGAGCAACACAGGTCTCCACACACAGTACCTGGAGAGTCAACACAGGTTCTACACACAGTAGCCTGAGAGTCGACACAGCCCCACACACAGTACCTGGAGAGTCAACACAGGTCTCCACACACAGTACCTGGAGAGTCAACACAGGTTCCACACACAGTACCTGGAGAGTCAACACATGTCTCACACACAGTACCTGGAGAGTCAACACAGGTCTCCACACACAGTACCTGGAGAGTCAACACAGGTCTCCACACAGTACCTGGAGAGTCAACACAGGTCTCCACACACAGTACCTGGAGAGTCAACACAAGCCCCACACAGTACCTGGAGAGTCACACAGGTCTCCACGCACAGTACCTGGAGAGTCAACACAGGTCTCCACACACAGTACCTGGAGAGTCAACACAGGTCTCCACACACAGTACCTGGAGAGTCAACACAGGTCTCCACACACAGTACCTGGAGAGTCAACACAGGTTCTACACACAGTACCTGGAGAGTCAACACAGGTCTCCACGCACAGTCCTGGAGGGGCAGTCCTGGAGAGTCAACACAGGTCTCCACGCACAGTACCTGGAGTCAACACAGGTCTCACACACAGTACCTGGAGAGTCAACACAGGTCTCCCACACACAGTACCTGGAGAGTCAACACAGGCTCCACGCACAGTACCTGAGAGTCAACACAGGTCTCCACACACACAGTACCTGGAACAACACAGGTCTCCACACACAGTACCTGGAGAGTCAACACAGGTCTCCACACACAGTACCTGGAGAGTCAACACAGGTCTCACACACAGTACCTGGAGAGTCAACACAGGTTCCCCACGCACAGTACCTGGAGAGTCAACACAGGTCTCCACACACAGTACCTGGAGAGTCAACACAGGTCTCCACACACAGTACCTGGAGAGTCAACACAGGTCTCCACACAGTACCTGGAGAGTCACACAGGTCTCACACACAGTACCTGGAGAGTCAACACAGGTTCCACACACAGTACCTGGAGAGTCAACACGGTCTCACACAGCACTCTGGAGAGTCAACACAGGTTCTACACACAGCACTGGAGAGTCACACAGGTCTCCACACACAGTACCTGGAGAGTCAACAGTTCCACACACAGTA